GAGAGGAGGAGAAGAACAGAAGAGACTTCTGAGGAGTAAGTGAGCCCAGGAGCCATGTGCTCTTGTGTAGAATGGGCTCCGAGTGTGTGTGTGTGTGTGGGGGGGGGGACGGGATGGGGGACGAACTGTGGGAATAGTACACACACTGCCTAAAAGAGTTTGCTGGAACCAGCATGTCTCAGAAAACACAAGGCGTGGGCAGGAAGGGATGGGGATTGGGGCCACTAGTCACAAGACAGTGTTCACAAAGTCACTGGAGGTTGTGACTTGCCACCCACTCTTTCCTCCTCGACACTGCAGCACCCCGCCCCTCTCCACCTACCAGCTGAGACTAAAGACAAAGTCTGGGATGGTGGGTGCCTGTCCAGTGCCACTCAGAAACTCAGGGAAAGTCCCACCCCACCACTTTGAGGAACTATAGCATCCATCTATCTGTCCCAGGGTTCTGGGGCAGAGAGTGGAAGGCAATGACCTTAATGGCATCCTTTCCCCGTGCCAGGCATGTTACATACATTTTCTCATCCCAGCCAGCTACACGCTGCCTTAGGTGAGGGAAAACATTATCTGCTGTCTCAGATGAAGAAATCACTGGCAAAATTCACAAGAAATGAGATGTTCTGTGCCTGTCTGCTTGATCGCAAAGTCTCCCCAGACTGAGAAATGGACAGACCTAAGCCAAGGAGAGAAAGGGCTTGCAGCAGTGTGGTGAGAACATGATCCTAAAGAACCGAGTTCTTCCACACCAGGCTCATCCTTGCCCTTACTCGGGGACATGGGGCCTTCTGCCATGCTCCACGTTTCCCTTGGGAGTCTACGAGTCATGAGGCTTTGCCATTTAACACTTCAGATCGTCTGAGCATCCACAGCACGGGGGATGGGCCCAGGTTGTGCCGGCCCAGGCTTCCCAGCCTACCTCTTCTTCCTTCTTCCCGGGGGTTTACAGCCTGGCTTGTCAGAGCCCAGCTCGACCCTCTGCCCTCCTCCTCCTTTTTAACAGATCCCTGGTGAGTTTGGCTGAGCCAGTCATCTAATCATCCTTGGGCTCTTCAGGGCAAGTGATGTGTGCTTTCTTAGAGTTGGGGACAAAGAGACACAGCACATGTTTATGTGCTACAGTTCTGGTGACTATTATCTCCCAAGGTTCGTATGGTGGAAGCTTAGCTCCCAGTGAAGTGGTGTTGAGGGGATGGAACCTTTAAAAGGTGGGGCCTAAGAGACAATGAGATCCTGGGGGCACCGGCCTCAGTAGGATTGCACTCTGGTCTCTTGGAGTATGTTGGGTCTCTCAGGAATGGGTTAGTTCCTCTGAGAGTTGTTATAAAAGACTGAGCCTGGCTTCTCCCTGATCTCTTGCTTCCTTGCTCTTATATGTTGCTTCTGCATATGGCAGTTTCCTTTTCTGCTTCTCTGCCATGTGTAATGCGGCTAGGAGGTCCCTCACCAGAGGCCAGGGCTAGGCTGTTTTGATTTTCCAATCAGCAGAATCATAAGTCAATTAAACCTTTTTCCCTAATACATTCCCAGTGCTAGGTATTTTGTTATAGCAACA